GGGTACCGGGGATCGAACTCAGGTCCTTGCACTTGCAAGGCAGGCCACCGAACCGCTGAGCTAAATCCCCGGCCTGGTAGAATTCCCTTTTTAACAAATGTTTTTCTTATTGAAGAGATTTGACATGACTCCCTTGGGATGGTTGGGCTGGCCTGATTGCTCCCTGTGAATACATACTGTGATTACATACTGGACACCTCCATTCCACCCCCATGAGCAAGTGATTGTCCAGGCATTGTGCCAGTAGGGCTGGGGGGATTTTGCAGGGTGGTCATAGTATATGCTTCAAAGAGGTAGAGTGGTGGCATGGGAAACAAGAGTCCTGGTTCTGCCACCCACTGACAGTATAACTTTGGACAAACCTCTTCCTCGCTGTGAACCTCTGTTTCCCCATTTGTAAAATAAAGGGCTTTGACTGTTTACCACAGGTTTCTTCAAGTACTGATGTTCTGTGGTTCTGTGATTCTAGGATTGTCTGGGGAAATATTGAGCCGCAGTCCAAGAAAGTCCCAGCTGCCCTTGCCTGAACTGATTCTCGTTGTCCTACACAGAGACCCGAGGGGCGGAAGCCGAGCGAAGTGGCACACAAGAGCATTGAGGCAGTGGTGGCTCGGCTGGAGAAACAGAACGGCCTGAGCGTGAGCCACAGCACTTGTCCGGAAGAGGTCTTCATGGAGGCCTCGCCGGGCTTGGAGGATATGGACAGTCTGGAGGATGCCGTTGTGCCCCGGGCTCTGTATGAGGAGCTGCTGCGCAACTACCAGCAACAACAGGAGGAGATGCGCCACCTCCAGCAAGAGCTGGAGCGGACTCGGAGGCAGCTGGTGCAGCAGGCTAAGAAGCTAAAGGAGTATGGGGCACTCGTGTCTGAAATGAAGGAGCTCCGTGACCTCAACCGCAGGCTCCAGGATGTGCTGCTCCTGCGACTTGGCAGCGGTGAGTGCCAAGCAGGTCATGTACCCCTCCACGTGGGGACATGTGGTACAGCTCCTCTTCCAGGAAAACGAGGGGGACAGGCAGGCCAAAACAAGTGAGGAGAAGCTAGAGAAGAACAGAGATGTGGCTTAGCACTTACTCCAAGGAAAAGCCACTCCCCTGCCTCAGTGGATCTGGCAGGAGCCCATGGATGCAGCATTGGGCACATTGTGCTAGGAGCCCTGGGGAAAGGGGTCAGAGAACAGAGCCTGACAAACTCTTTGTTTCTGCTCATTTGTGCATCCATTCAGCAAGAGTCAGTACCAGGGATGGTAGGGTCCTTCCCCAAAGATATCTCAGGATAGTAAGGAGAGCGAGGCATGGTCCTAAGATGTGTATCACTATAAGTCAGAAAGTGATAAATACCACAGGAGGGATGCTACTTAAAGGGTCTGAGAGTGTGGAGCACAGAGAAGTTATTTGTAATTGAGGCAATAAGGTAGACTTTAGAAAGGAGCTAGACTTTGAACTGGGTCATGAACAAAGCACATGAGAAGGCCAAGGGCACTCATGAGTGTGGGAAAACCTAAGAAGGGTAGTGCCAGTGTGCTTGGAGGGCAGATGCTAGAGGGCCTTGAAAACCATACCAGCCTGGTCAGGCTGGACTTATTTGGTAGGAATGGTACCCATTAAAAACTCTTGAACAGGGAGGCACATGGCTTAGGAAGTTTACTATAAAGGCGTATAAAACTGCTTGGTTTGTGCGCTGAATAACTTACTTGACTCTGATTCACACCTGATTTTAAGTCATTAGGTTCTTAGGTTTTCTTATTTAAAGGCGTGATAGGAAATCTGAAAGGCAGCAGTCTTAACTGTGGGGAGCAATCACTGCTCACTGGAGAGGAAAAAACTGAAGAGCTCCTTCAGAACATAAGAGTTCAGAACTGTGAAAGGTAGAAATAGTACTGAGGAGCTCACTATAACACAAGTTTACAGCCTCTGTGGCCTCCGGGACAATAATTAACCCTGAGTCAAGGTGCTTTGTTTGAATACAGGAGTATTCTAGTCTAGAAACAGAGGTTCTGTCCTCAAGGTTTAAAAGAAATACTTCACTCAAGAAGGAAAGATTCCATTTTCTGTGTAATATATGTGTGTGTGTGTGTGTGTGTGTGTGCGCGCAAAGCTCCAATTCTCTTTAATTTTAGACACATGTGCTCTGACCTGCCTTATTTGTATTTGCATGTACTTTTTTGCTTCTTAAAGTAGGTCCCAAGGACAAAAGATTCCCAAGATCAAAAGATCAAGGAGTTAGTCAATAGGCCTTTTTCATGTCAGAGTGGAGGAAATTAGTTAGCTGGAGAAGGCTTAGTTGTATTTCAGATGTCACTTAATTCATGGGCTGCTAATTTTCCCACTCCCCAAATATGCCTTTGCTTTGGCCATTGTCCCAAATCATAGCCTATAGAGGTTCACAGTAATACTAGAACTCACATGTGGTGTTGAACTTCAAAAGTTGTTAAAGTTCGTTATTGAAATAATATTTCAAAGAGAAACCATAAATACAAAACTTTATAAAAGCTGTGTTGGTCTTGGAGTGGGGGTAGGGAAATAACTGAATTTTTCAGAGTCAAAAAATATTTCCTGGTCTTCAGGTGAGTAATTTGTATTTTCATTCTGCTGTGTATGCTGTGCCTTTTTAAACCTCTTGGGAGGGTGACAGGGAAACGCACTAAGAACAAAACCTCTCCGTACCATTATTTCAGCTCCCTGGGAAATGACCTGTTTTACATGGTCTTGAGTTTAAACTCCAGAAACCACTCCTGAATCCCAGCAAGAAGACACTGCATTTTACATTAGCATCTACCCCTTTTCCTCCTAAAACTCTTAGAAAAACTTGACCCTGACTATAACTTCAATGTCTTGACCTTTCCAGGCCTTGAATGCTATCATGAGGCCAGTGTCTAGTTCTTCCCTCATCAGAGTCACTGTTGTCACCGCAGTAGGATGGACTTAAGCTGCAGGTCTGCCTGGAGCTCCCCCATCCCATGCAGTGCCCTGTGCTCTCAGTGTCATAGGCCGTGTGAAACCCCTGGCTTTGGCACCCCCTTGGCCCTGATCTGTGAATGCTTCATCTATTGATTAACATATGATGACTCAAGAATAGTTATGTGCCAAGTTCTAAGACCGACCCACACAGGTCTTAGCAGTCAGAACATGGCTTCCCTGTAAGAGTAACTGGTATATTTTTATGGAAAGAGTATAGTCTTTGGAACCAGGCAGGCCAGAATTCAGATCTCAGCTTCAGCACTTCATAGCTCTGTGGCTTTTGGAAACTTTCTTCCCTTTCTTTCTGATTTCCTTTCCTCATCTCTCTTTTTGTTTTCCAAAACTACTTATTGTTCTTCTGCTGTGTGCCAGGCATGTGTGTATGTGGTGAGTGAGAGTTCAGCATTCTCTGGACCCAGCCCTTGCTCTCTCCCCTGGAGGGCCTTGGAGTTTGATGAGAGAGACAGATAATAAAATAATCAATGACAGCACAGTACATAATTGCTGTCACAAGGACAGAAACATAGAGGGCTGTGGGACAGCAGGAGAAGGATCCCTGCCAAATTCTAGGAGATCAGAGAAGAAAGATTTCCAGAAGAAAAAGACTTCTAAACTGAAGGTTGAAGGATGAGTTTTTGTTGTCCAGGCAAGCGTGGGTGTGAGGAAAGAGTGAGGGGAAGTGTAGGCAGAGGGTCCCTACAGAGGAGCCTCAGTGTTCCCACATGTAAAATGGGACGGTTGTAGTCTGTCTGCCACCTTGTGGTACACAACATAGTGCCTACTACTCTGGTGATGATCAGTTATTCTTAAATCCATTTCCAAATCATTTAGTGGACAAACTAGGTGTCTGCTTTAGCTTTTAACTCTGGCTTCCCCAACCAGTAATTGGCTGTACAATATTGAGCAGTTTACCTACCTTCTGTGCCTCAGGATCTTCTTTCTGACTTGTACCAAGACTGGGTTAGGTGTTGGAAATACAGAAACAAATGAGACAGGACACAGCACCTTTTTTTGTTTAATCATTCACAAACTAGTAGGTTAAAGAAGTATTTTTAAAACTGGAGGGAGTGGTCCTAGGTGGCGGCCTCAGAGAATCCCGAGAGGATGAGGGGAAGCAGAACAGTAAAGACTCCACTGGAAAGGGTGAGCTCAAGGTATGTGAATAGAGTAAACTTAGGGTCTTTTTCTGTTTCTCCTTTTCCCAGCTCCTTGTTCTTAGCAAGCAAAGACCAGGGCTCAGGTATCCACCTCAGTTTTTAACACTGTAAGTACCACCTGGATAGTGTAATCCATTCAGGTGTAAGTCAGGTAACATCAGTTCAACTAAAGTTCTAAAGAGCTCTGTGAGGATTATAAAGAGTTGTAGACTAACCCTTGACTTCAGGAAACTCATAGGTCTAATGGAGTCATACACCCAGACATACATGACACCAGGCAGAAGAAATCGGCACTGGAACTGCAGGAAAGAGGCACATGATGATTTTAAATGTTATGAGTGCTTTATCAAGGCATGTAAGCAGAAGTGATTAATTCTAACCAAAGATATATAGGTAATATGAATAACAATAATTTGCATGCATGTGCCACCTTACAGGTTTCAAAGCACTTTGGCATTTTTATCTGTTGCAAGGTCAGGTAAGAATTATTATTTGAATTTGAGAGAAAGAAGTGTGAAGAAATAATGTTCCTGTTGGCTAGATCATAAGCTGGTTAAAATTTTTGAAGAAGGAGAAAACCATTGCGGCCTGCATATCTGCCTTGGCTCTTTAGAGCTGGATTGCTAATGCTTCTGTAACCCTCTGAGTTTATGCTTTGTGTTCTGTCCAAAGTCTGTTAAAATACCAGCTTTGATCTTTAAAATCCTTTGTGGTTGGTGCTGGCTTCTTTAGGCTGAGGTCTCTGATGGTGCCTTAGAAAAGGCAACTTATATCAGCCAAACACTTCCTGCTGGTTTCCCCCTCTATTAGAGGCAACATAGTTTTTGGCAACAGATGCTACTTAGATTTGAATCTGAGCTATATGATCTCTGTTAGTATATTACCTGTGTAATATTACACAAATGATTTAACCCTTCTCAGTCTGTTGTCTCCTCTGTTAAATGAGTATCTTAAAGGCCATGCCATCCAGACAGGAGAAAAGAGAGCCAGCTCAGTGATTGAGTCTATGTGGGCTCTGAGGTTAAAAAAAACAAATGAACGAACAAACGAAAAAACTACCGGGCTTTGGGGCCCTGGCTCTTCTGTGTGCTAACTATGCTACCTTGAAAAGCTTGGTTTCCTGGCCTTTAGTTGCCTCATATATAAAACAGAGTCAACAACAGTGCAAACATTATGGGTTTGGGGAGGATTCAGTGACCAAGGGAAGTGAAGATGTCTACTTGGAGGTGGGCACATTGCAGTTGCTCAGTAGGTCCTATATTAATGTGCAGTCATTTGAGCATGTACATGAGATAATATGTGTACAGCGCTTGGAGAATCACAGGTACTTGTCATTCTACCGCAGAATGTAGATGTGGATGTCTCACATATCATAATACTTGATCAACCTTAATGTCTTCAAATGTCCTCCTTCCTCTTGTAAATCCTTTGAGTCATAGTTGAGTAGTCAACTTTACAACTATCTCTGGTCTGTAGTTTGTAGGGTTCTCCACCTTTCCTCCCTTAATTTTCCTGGGCAGAATCCTGTCCTCCCATCTCCAAGTAAGTAACCAACCACCTTTTTGACCCCATCATTTTTTTTCAGACATCATTAGTTAGTTATGGCTGTTTTCTTTGTTGACTCTTCCAGCACCTGCTTATCTCAGAGCCTTTTTTCCATTTCTTTCAGCCCCAAATTCCTTCTTACCTATGAATAGGAACCCTAAAATTGGGCTTGAGAGAGTACTAACCATGACAGGCTGGAGCCATTTGGTCCAGTTGGGTTTTCATATCCCCATTGTAGAGGAGACCCACTACCTCAGAGTTCTGGAGCAGTGC